GCACTCGGGTCTTTGATCTATTTTGAGTCAATTCTTAATCATAGTGTGCAGGTAAAGTTCCAACTTTATTCTTTTCTATAGGATATTCAGTTTGACCATGATATGATATTTAACAGTGCTTGTTGAAAAGACTGTCCCTTTTCTTTTAAAAAATTTTTTTTAACATTTTAATTTTATTTTTGAGAGCAAGAAAGAGTGTGAATGGGGTAGGAGCATAGAGAGAGGGGGAGACACAATTCAAAGCAGGCTCCAGGCTCTGAGCAGTCAGCACAGAGCCTGAGGTGGGGCTCAAGCCCACAAACTGTGAGACGATGACCTGAGCCGAAGTCGGCGCCCAACTGACTGAGCCACCCAAGCGCCCCTGTCCTTCCCTTTGAAGTGGCCATGCCAGTCTTGTCGGAAATCATTTGACCATATATGTGAGGGTTTGTTTCTGAATTCTCTTCTCTTGATCTGTACATCTTTTTACCAGTACCACACTATTTTGATTACTGTAGTATTATAATTTTTGAAATCAGGAAGTGTGAGACTTCCAATGTCATTCTTCTTTTTTCAAAATTGTTTTGAGAGCAGTCAAAGGGTTCAGGTAGTGACTGCCTGATCCCTCTATTGTGGAGGTCCCCCTTATCAAGCAACCTGTAGCCTAATGGTTTCATTCATTGATGATTATTGCCTGAATCATTTCACCAGGGGTTACAAAGTGATTATTTCTTCCACCTACATTAGCTGGAGTAGTTCTGGGATAATAAGAAAAATTTTCTTCGTCAACAATGATATCTTGCAGTTCAATTTTACAATCAGGCTAGATTCTGTGCTTGATTCTTTACCTTTTAATTGCCAATTTTTAGAGGAAGGAGTTGGTGTTCTAGTTGCTTTCAGTGAAACTAATGAATGAGGAGGAAAAGTTAAAGGTCGTAAATACCCTTTTTTATACGTATTATAAACTCTTAGATTTTATATATAAAATCTGTGTTAGTTCATTGCAGTTTAGGGATCCAGGAGTCTCCTTTGTTCACACAAAGACCACATGTTCTTGATGTAGGTGGTCTTCAGGGCAGTCTGCTATCAAGTAATATGATTGATTGAAAACTGGCTACTGTTTTGTGGTGTTGTCTTCCATACCCCAGGTGGTGTTCACTGACAAGCTAATGCCTGATCTTATCAAAGTAATTGATTTTTAAGTTATAGCCTTGAATGTTAACTTGCCTAAGTAAGGAGGTATTTTCTGCTTTTTGTTTACTGTCATTGTTATAGTTCTCTAGCCGTAGACCTAGCCAGTCATCAGACATTACTCTTAACATTGAGTAACTTCCAACATGGCAACACGATAAACTTTTTTTTGTTTTTTAATGCTACTTAAATGGTGCTAAGTAGTTGTGCATAGATAATTTGCTATTTATTGTGCACCTGTCCTATGCCAGTCACCATCCTACAAAATTGATCTCCAGTCCTTACTGTGTTTCCCTTTGACCTAGGTTTGTTTTGTTTTGTTTTCTTTTTGTTGTTGTTTGGTTGTGGTTTTTTTGGTTTTGTTTTTTGTTTTTTTTCCAGTATCTAAGACATTTCTATTTCTCAGTCACAGTTTAGGAATGATATATTTAGAGAAGTCTCCCACTACTGCCTCCTTCAGTCAGTCCCTTCCTCCCCCTGTAGATACTCATTTTTATTTTAATTTATGGTTGATCTGATCACTGTTTCTTTTGCAAATACTAGCCAACAGATATAAATGTGACCTTTTCTTACACAAAAGTATCATAACTAAAGATCTTGATCTGCATCTTACTTTCTTCTCCCCACTTAGTAATACATTCTAGAGATCACTCTAGAAATCTTCATTTCTTTTTATGTCTGTGGAGTATCCCCTCTGGTAGAATGTCATCATTTTTCCAGCCAGTCACTATTGATGGACATTCAAGTTTTTAAAAAATTCTTGCTGTTAACATATAATGCTGTTATTTTCTTCCTCCAGTTTCTTCCCCATTTCACTGCTCTACTTCATAGCAAAAATTCCTTGGAAAATTTTCTTTCAATAATGGCTGTCTCCACCTCCTGATTTCTGGATTCATGAATTCTTTCCATCAGGCTTCTGTCCTCACCACTCCACTGAAACCCCTCTTTCCAAAACACCAGTGACCTGCATGATGCTATATCCCATGCTTTATTCTCACTACTCAACTTACTTGAATTGTTAGCTGCACTGGACCTGATTGATGACTCTGTCCTCCTGGAAATACTTGTGACTAGGACTCTAGAACACCATACACGTCTGTGAGGTTTTTTTTATTCCTTATTCTTTTTTGTTTTTTTAATAAGATAAGAAAGGCAGAATAGTAGGAAATTTAACAGAGAGGGGATGTTTGAAAATGAATACTCCTATTCTTTTTTTTTTTTTTTAATGTTTGCTTATTTTTGAGAGAGCACAAGTGGGGGAGGGGCAGAGTGAGAGGTGGACAGAGGATCCCAAGTTGGCTCTGTGCTGACAGCAGAGAGCCTGATGTGGGGCATGAAGTCACAAACCAAGCCTTAATATCATGACCTGATGGATGCTCAGCTGATTGAGCCACCCAAGTGTCCCTGTGTTTTTTTATTCTTGAGGCTGTCCCTTCTCTCTTTCTTCTCGCCCTCTTATCATTGAATGAATGCATTCCTCTTTCCTGTGGTGTCAGCTGGTGGCTGGGCCAGCTGGGCCCACTTCAGGGGAGAGCTGTCAGTACCAGAAGGGAAATAGGAAGGGCTGGAGTCTCTGCATCTAGAAGTTGAAGCCAAGAGGGGGAAGAGAGGAAGGCTTCTGGTTTCAAAGGTCACCTGAAACAAGCCTGGAGTCTGACACAACCAGATTTATTGATATTAAAATGGCGAGGGCAGGCACTCCAGGGGAACTGTGGAATGCCACACAAGAGGGAGGAGGGAAACCGCCTTTGTAACGTTTGGGTTCTTGCTCACGCATTCTGAGGAAGCTCTAAGGGAAATGGGAATCAATTTTGGATTTGCAGCTATTTCTGAGGCAGGATTAGAAGGGGGATTAATTAGTGTTTGAGTGCTATCTTGAGGCAGGGGCAGTTTAACAATTGGGTTTCCTCAGTAGTAGATGCTATATCAAAATGGATCTGGGGGCATCTTGGGTAAGAAAGCAGTAGTCACTCAGAAGGTTGTTACAGCATTTTATAGCTGCTACATGACCTTGGGAGAAATAATGTTTTCTGTTAACTTTGCACCTGCGTTTATCTATTAGTAAATGTCTGTACTTCCAGCCCATTTCATGGTAGGGTTATTTTTTTCCTTTTTCATTCTGAGCTGATTTCCGTCTTTTATCTTAGGTATATTTTTACTCTCTCAGTTTCAAGGCACTGATTTACTGGACTTGGGAAGTATAGATTCTTGTTTCCTATGACTGAAGCAAGGAATTAAGTACTTAAATGATCACTGTAGTCTCCCACCCCATCTCCAAATTAAAAAGCTCATAATTTGTACATAGGAATTGATTTGGGAAAATTGTGAGGTGTGGGAATAGTTTCTTTGTTGTTGCCATTTCAGCTTTTCTTTCTGAGCCCCTCTCCCTGTTATGGGCTCCAGGGACCCTTCTCATCTCATCTCATCTCATCTCATCCCATCCAAGCTCTCGATACTCTTTCTTAGGCCCTTTTCTCTCCCCTTTGTGAACTTGACATATTGGTTGATTTGATAATGAGGTTAAGTTAGCTTAATATCTCCCTTTGAGGGGTATTTGCATTTTAAAAGGAAATTCCTGAGAATAAGGCCGAAACCAAGTAATAAGGTTCTAATGCTTTTGTGGCAGGATGGGGTGGGGAGTGAAGATGGGTAGGAAATAGGGTTTGAGAAGAGGCCCATCCTTCAGCAGTCACTCTGAGCAGCTTATGAACTGGAGCCTGGTCAGCCCTCTTCCCCCTGAGATGCTGTGGTAGGCAGTGTTTTGGTAGACATAGCGAAAGTGTATGGGCATGTGTCATGGGAGCAAGGCCCTGTGTGGAGTAAATAATGTGGAAACGGAGATCGAAGTCGAGGCTGGCCAGACAAGTACAAGCACAACTGGAAGTGCCTCCTTTTCACAGTGGTACACAAACACTGCTGCCTTGGTAGTTCCCAGAGACAGACACAAATATGTTGAGACTTGATCATAACACTGACCTTGGAACTGCTTACTGTCTAGGAATGTTTCAGTCCATAGACTACCAGAGCTCAAACTCTCTCCTTTCAAGCCTCTGTCATGGAAGCTAGGCAGTACATATCCAGCCCTCCTACGGAGATGAAATGTGAACCCATAGCTTTAGCCCAGCAGTTTGTCTAGAGCCTGTTTACTTCTCCAGATCCAAGTTGTTTCATAATCCTCAGGGGAAATGTGACATTCCTCTTGCACTTTGAAGATACATTGAGCTTTAGGATTTGAGTCCACAGCATCCAAACCTAGATGTGACCTCCATGGTAGTCTTCCATGACTAAAGCCAGGCCGTGTCTCCTGGTGTGACGTTCTTGTTTCATGACTCCTGGGGACAAGTACAAGATGTTTGCTCTAGGGATCAGAAGCCTACAAGATTTCAGCCCTAGCCACAGTTTGAACCATTTTGAGTATCTTTGTAAACTGAATTTGTAAAAGTCATGCTTTTTCAAGTCCCTTGCCTTTCCCTGGGGATGCCTCGACCAAGTGGAGCATACTGATGTGGCAGATTATTGCTTTCTCAGAGTACTTCTGTCTGCATCTTGTGCAGGCCAGAAGCAAGCTCTGGATGTCATTGGGCAGCTTCCGCCCAACATGCACATCAAGATGATGGCTCATTTGTATAGTTGTTGCTTTTCTCTCTGCTCGAAGACTATTAACTGGCCCTTACTGCTGTACTAAAAAAGGGTTGCAAAGAAAGAGAGACATCACACTGCATGTGAGAGTGAACTCGTGTCTAGTTGCATGGACAACCTGTTTGAAGGAGGATCTCAACATTGGCACATTACTATTAACTAAATTCCAGACTTTATTTAAATTTTTTTAAAAAAATATGGAACACTTCATGAATTTACGTGTCCTCCTTGCACAGGGGTCACATTAACTTCTCTATATCGTTCCAGTTTTAATATATGTACCGCTGAAGCGAGCAGACTTTAGTTTTTATTGGTTCTTCCACTCATGACTTCCAGAATCCAGCCTAGGATACCACATTACATGTAGTTATCTTTCAGTCACTTCTGATCTGTGACAGTTTCTCAGTCTTCTCCATATTTTTCATGACCCTTGATAGTTTAGAGGAATACTGACAAGTACCCTTTATAATGTCACCCAATTTGGGCCTTTTTGATGTTTTCCTCAATTTAGACTGATGTTACAGGTTTGGGGAAGAATACTGCAGAGGTAAAGTGCCCTACCTGGGGGCATCTGATGTTTCCATGACATCACTAGTGATTAAAATTGGTCACTTGATTAAATTGTTTGGTTGTCAGTTTATCCATTGTAAAAGTTATTGTTTTTCTCATTCCCTACTCTGTTCTTTGGAAGCAGATCACTTGAGGCTAGCCCACACTCAAAATGGGTTGAGAGATATATAGAATTAAGCTCCATCTCTTAGAAGGAGGAGTATCTGCATATATTATTTGGGGTTCTTTAAGAAGGCTTCACTCCCAGCACAGAGCCCAACACAGGACTTGAACTCAGGATCCTAAGATCAAGACCTGAGCTGAGATCAAAAGTCGGATTCTTGATCAGCTGAGACACACACCCCTTATTTTGAGTTCTTATGTAAGGAAATTTTTCTCTTCTCACCAATTTATTTAGTCATTTATTTATATCACTTAAGGATTCGTGTGTATCTGTTTTATACTTTGAGTTATAATCCAGTACTGTTACTTATTTTGTTGCCGAAATTATTCCAGCTTTGGCCAGAGGGAGATCTTTCAGGTGGCTCCTCATCCCTTTGACATACTCTTATCCTTTGGGGTTTTTTTGAACACTTCCTTACTTTCTGATACTACAAAGATATTCCAGGCTCATCTTATATTTTCTGTGACTTACCCCTAGAATCAGCCATTTTTTTTGAGGACCCGTGTTCTTTTTATTGGAGAGTGGTATTCAGAAACCACTGGCCACTGGGTATGTTTAGTGCTGTTGGGGGGTCATTACTTCTAGGCCTTCTTGGCAGGCAGAACTGAGTAGCATGCATATACAAACTCACCTCTGGATATAGACAGATCTTTCATTGTGTCTGTGTTTCTTTATCTGTATATATATCAAGATAAACATGAGTTTATATTGATGTCTCTGACTTTAGTAGCACAGAGTTTATTTTAGAATGTCTTCCTTTCTTGCTCATCTATAATATCCTCCTTCAACAATAAGGAACCTTGCTCCCACCATTTCACTGTTCATCCCCAGCACACATGTACCCATGCTGTACCTGTATTATAACCCATATGCCCACAAGAAACACATTTATCAGTTTGAATATTGTACTGATTTTTAGCAATTCTATTTTAGTGGACAAGTTGTAGATGTTTATCTATGTTTATTATAATGTGATTTGATCTGTGATGCTAGCTTTTAGATATATGCAATGTTTTTAACATTCCATATTCTGAGATGACTTTGTGTGTCAGGATGGTTCATTAAGATTATGGAGTCAGGCTTCAAGTAAAATATTTCCCTTGTACTCTGCATTTCTAATAGTCTAATAAGAAATAAAAAATTCATGTTCTCTCTTTAAAATAATTTATCATACATTTCTACAAAAGGAAGTTTATACTTATTATTAAAGTTATATACTTACTAAAGGTTTCACATATAAAAGGGACAGGTTGAATGAAACGCTATTTACAGTACCATCTAGCTCCAAAGTCCTGGCTCAGGAGCTTTTTGAAAACCACCTTAAGGCAAGACATTCTAAAATCAGTTTCTCCATTTGCTTACTAAGCCCTGAATGTGTAGGCTTGGCACTTGGTTCTACTTTATTGGCTACTTTTCTAGGGCATCCTGTTGGCCCATTCTTATTACTGGTCCCAAAGATCATTTATGTTTGTGGATAAAGATACTTTGGCCTGGGAAATGGAAGTGACAACTATAACTTTAGTTCCCTGGATTCTTGGGTTCCCAAGTTCCTGTTGAAGAAAAATAAATATGAGCTGTACAAACTTTCTTAGAGTTGAGCGTTCTCAGTCACCATGTAAGTTGGCTTTTAACTTGAAGTTTGATCTTCTACCTCCAGACCTCAGATCCTTTATCAAGAAAGTACAGCCATTCCATTAGATGACCCCTAAGGTTCTTTACAGCTATGATTTTATCATCCAAGTAATAAAATACATGGGCTGGCACTTATCTCAGTAATTAGGGCATGTGTCAAGAACTGGAAATGGTCAACCTCTCTGAAACAAGCTTATTGGGTCCATTTCTGTCACTCTTTTTACTTGTTTAACATATACACCATGTGTGGGATGAACACATTCTGAAATGTGAAAGCTAGCAGTATTAGCTACATGGCTGAGACTGAACCATGTAAAAAGCGAAAGATTTATACGATCTGAAGAGAAACCAGAGTATGAAATTGAACCACGTAGAAGGAGTATTTTGCTGTTCGTAATGATCCATCATGGTAATAATGTTGGAGTATCAGAACTGGAGTGTTCATTGTTGGTGTTTATAAACCAGTGGTTTCTTAAATGACCTTCTCTTTACAGCTACTTTGTAAAATCTGTGAACAGTACAAAAGAATGGCCAAGGTAAAGAGAGTGCAGTGACTTATGTGTGATATGGCTCTATGAGTTATGTGAAAGAAGCTTTAGTTCTTAAAGCCTAGGGAAAAAATGTCATCAGTCTCATATACTGATAACAGTCTTCAGAAGACTGTCTTTCCTCATAAGCAGAGTGAAGGAAGCACATGACCTGTAGATGTGAAACGTATCATGTACTTACAAAAGGATTTTGGAAAACAGGTGAAAGAGAACAAGTAAGAATTAATACGCTGTGGGACAGGGCATATCTTTTTGGGGAAAACAAACAGTAGAGTGAAGAAATGTTGCCTTTGGTTAGAAAGCTAGGATAGGAAAGCATGGAATGAATCTCCTTCAAGTGCCTGCCATTGAATTGTTCTTTAAGGCCTACATCATGTTGGTTTATGAGATTGACTTTGAGTTTTGAAAGTCCTCTGACCCACTGTCTGGCACTGTCCCAGAGTTCTGAGTGAAGTGGCATGCTGCATATCCTGGCTTACAGTGTTAATTAACAGGTTGAACTGTTATGGTACTAGTTTACTTGAGGATTCATCTTTGCGTTAATGAGAAGTGTGTCTGGAATGGATTCCCCTTCGTCATGCTAGCACAGCTGGTGGCCACAAAGAATTGCTAGTTCCAGAAGTGAACAGCAGGTGTCACTGCATCCCCACTTACTAGGGTTCTGGCTCCTAGTTGTTTTCCGGCAACCAAGTTTTTAATAGAGCCTTCCTCAGATACAGAACCCAAATTGAAAATTGAGAATAAGCACAGCCCAAGAGGGTTTTTTCTCAGTTTCCTTCACTATACTTTTTAGTGTATTTCCCCCTAGGCTTAATATTATCTGTATATCTGTTTAGGTAACTAATGAATTTTATTAGCCTTTTCTTATCAATCATTCAGCAATTATTTCAGAGCCTTGGACAACTTTTCTTTGTTTCATCTGGGTTCCCACTTAAAAGCTTCTTGGCCTATCTGCAGCTTGCTTTATAAAAAGCCTTCCAGCAGGAAAGTTGATGTCACTGATCTCTAAATTGAGGTGCCAAACATCAAAGGAGACAACCTCTTTCTTTCTTCTTCTGTTTGAACCCTTAGCTTTGGCAGTTGAGAAATAACTGAATTATGACCAAAAGTCCTGTGGTGCATCTTCTAAAACAAATCTCTTATGATTTCACTGTAGATGGTGGGGTTTCCCTCTATGACAAAGGCAAAGTTGGTGTTAAATTGGATTATTTTAGAAAGTCTGGGACATACCACATTTTTGGATCCTTTGATCACATAGATTGTTAGGGGAAGAAACATCCTAGGTGATATTTGTCTTAATAGCCAGGGTTAGTGGTGGTTTACACTTGTGTCCCAGTGTCATTGTTAATAGCTTACCCCCTTTACTCTCAGTTGTCCTCATTTAGACAATGAGTAGTCACGCTAAATTGCTAGAGAGAGGGAGGGGACAGTTGATAGGTTGCTTATTATAGTAATTATAAGCTTTTTTTGGCTCAAGAATTATGCCTGCCCTAAGTTTTCTAAGTTACAGACATTGAAAATAAAGCAACAATAACAAAGAGCGTACAATTCTGGGAAAGTAGCTTTGGGTTTCTACCTACAGATCATTGTTCTCTGGAGCAGTGATTTCCAGATGTGGCTGTGCATCAGAATCTGCTGGTAAACTTTTTACATCTAGTTTCATGGGCCTTAAAATAGACCTCTACTGAATGTGTACGGGAGTTTGAACTTGACATTACCAAAAATGTAGAAAATCACGCAGTGCAAATGCACCAGGCTACTTCGTCGGCAAGCTTTTAAAATTAGCACAAAGAAGAATATTTCTTCCTATGGTTTGGGTGGTGTTTGGGGTTTTTGGTGGCACCTGCTTGGGCCTTAAGGGTATGCCTGTCATTGACGTGAGTTGCCTTTTTGTTTCAGATGTCATCTGGGTGATTCTCAGTGTGGAGGTGGGTGGACTTTTAGGAGTAACGCAGCAGCTGTCATCTTTTGAAACGGAGTTCAACACACAGCCGCATCGCAAGGTAGAAGGAAACTTCAACCCGTTTGCCTCTCCCCAAAAGAACCGACAATCAGATGAAAACAACTTAAAAGACCCTGGGGGTTCCGGGTTCGACTCGATCAGCAAAAACACATGGGCTCCTGCTCCTGACCAAACCGAGCAAGATGAGAATAGACTCTCACAGAACTCTGTAAATCTGTCCCCCAGCAGTCACGCAAACAACTTATCAGTAGTGACTTACAGTAAGGTAGGTGCCCTCGGAGAAGAGGAGAAGGGGTAGGTGGTGGGCCTTGGGATTGTGATACCCCTTCATGGCAAACCTAGAAGCCTAGAATGTTCTTTAAGACTGCTTAGCTTTCCTGCCAACAGCAAGAATACAAAAACCTACCCCTTCTCCCCTC